TTGTACTTCATCTTTTCTTCTTATAGTATTTTTATTACTGGTGAATAGATCTGATAACTAGAGAATCTGGTTTGTCTAGCATTGATTTGTGGGAATTGGAATCTCGATGTTCTCATTGAAATCAGGTGGCTCCCTGCTATGGCACAATCCTTGATCCCATATTATTTGTCTGGTCTCTTCTTTGTGTTACTTGTGGGATCCTTTTGATGGTTGAGTAGGAATAGTTTACCAAGGGAATTGCATACATTACATTTTTCTATTATTTTTGGTGCGGCAGTTTCTACAGAAGAGGATCGCTTGTGGAATCTAGTTGGGGCAAATTCTTTGGACTTCAATGCATGGGTTTCCCTTATTCAGGAGACAGAGAAGGTGGCTGAGGTAAGGTGACTTTGATTTTGGTAGTTAATTTGCCTGCATCTTGATTATTTTCCCTTTGTAATTTTACTCTTGAGTGAGGTGGTTTCTGGTCAGCATATCTTACATTCATATTTACTATTCAATCTTTAGCTCATCAAAGTAGTAAATCACGTTATCTTAATGGCTCCTCTGTTCTGATGATTATTTGTTGATATTGTTTGGTCTATGCCATTTATCTTATCTCTTGAGGAAGAGCTAATTGATATATGTATATGTGTCTTGCCATTAGTGTAGAATTCCTGATTTTATCTGGTGGATGGTGTGCGATGGCGGCCACAGTTTTACAATCAGTTTGCCAGAATTATGAGGTTGATAACATTATGCAAGACATGATGAGAATTCATTGTTGGACATTGGTAATGTTACTGCATTATTTTTTGAATAAAAGATGACCACATATTAAGATATAGTTTAGTTTTACAAAAATCCATGAGGTGTGGGTGATGGCATCCGCATGTTGGGTGCTCAGAAGCCTGAGCATACTAATAACAAAAGAAAAAAGAAAAAGAAAAGGACCCTCGATTACAAAAAGATAAGCGAAGATAGGTTGTCGTTAGAAACAGGTGAGGGCCGGGGAGAGAGACCGTAAGAGTGAGATAAAAGACAGAACAGTTGGAAGTAAAGACGACAGTCAGGAACTAACGATAAGAGAATAGATGGGAGAGAGAAAGGATGAGTAAGAAAGAAGATAGAAGACAGCAGATGATGGAGAGAGAGAAAGAGGTTTTTTTTTTGGGATGGGGGGGGGGGGAAGGAAGATGTGTCTATGGGTGGCATCCCACATAACCGGGGCTCTACCCGAAATCTGAAAATAAAAAATTCGAGAAAGTAAGTTGCAAAACAAAATCAAAAATTACATTTGAAGAGATATTACTTCATTAGTAAATAGAAATGTCAAATTTGATTGAGTTGGTTCGTGACTTCAATGAAGAAATGTTCATTGTGGAAAACTACCTTAGCATACAGAATAATGCAACATTTCACAATATTCTGTTGTGCTTTGGACTTTCCTAATGCTATAAATTATTATGACGCTGGTATTAGTTATCAAAAGTGGATGAACTAGCTCTTTGGCGGCTGTACTGCATTATTCATGAGTCTGGAAAAACACATACTATTAGAAATGTACAAAGAGAAGGTCCACTGACCATATGTGAAGAGAGGCTAATGAAGTAATGGATCAACTTGCAGTAGATGGAGTTTCTTTGGCATTTCTTGTAGTCTCCTTTTTGCAAAGACCTGTTGAGAGTTTCTAGCTACCAAAAATTTTGTGTACAAAAAAATATATTTGTAAGTTTAATTTATGTCTATAAAGTGCAGTTAACTTAAAAAGGTATTAGAAATATGCATTTTATTGATTCATCATTATCCGAGCCTTATCCCAACTATTTGGGTTGGCTATAGGAATCTTGTTCCGCCATTCTGCTCTATCAAGGACCATACCCTTAGCTAGACCATAAGTCATGATATCTCTTCTCACTACTTTCATCCTCATCCTTTTGGGCGTCCTTTTAGATCTTTCTACTTGAACGAAGTCACCCCTCCTAAGCGGTATTGTTCTAAATTGATGCTGCACATGGCAAGACCACCTAGGTCGACTGTCCCTCATCTTATCGCCTATTGGAGCTACCCCTAAGTTCCCTCGGATAAATTCATTTTGAATTTTGTCCTTTCTTGTCTTGTCATATCCATCTCAACATCCTCAGCCACACTCATTCTATGAATATATAGTTTCTTGACATGCTTCTATTGATAATTTTATAAAAATATCTTTCTTTTTTCCCAAGTCTGGAGATGGGCTTCCAGCATATGAATAGGAACTGGGTATGGGAGGAAGCTGTTCCGATGTGCCACAGGAAAAGCGAGCAGCTGAGGGCACCTTCTTTCTTTCTTATTGATTAGCACAAATGTATCCCTCCTCATTCCTCTCCTCTTTTGTTTCCCTCCTTCCCTGTGTGTTTCCCTCCTTCCCTGTGTCTTGCCTTATATGCTCAATACCTTGGCTGTTCATCTCATTGCCATTGATAGTGTCGCTTGATGGGGTGCTCAATTGCTCTTAGAAACAATACTATCAAAATCATGTGCTGCGATCAAAAAATAAAGTAACAACTGGTAGTATCTAGTTGAACATTGATGCATGATAAATATAAAAAATAAATACATATAGTTTGGCTTTTGCCAGCTTTATCGGTTTTTTAATGGGACCCTTTTGAAATGATGACTAATGTTCTTTGTACATAAGCTTGTATAGTTTATCGAGGAGTGTTAATGATAATCCAAAAGGTCCTAATTCTTATGTATCTCTATTACCGAAGAATTCTTATATAGCTTAACTTTGTTTGAAACTAGGAATTTTATGGTTTTTTATATGAATTTCTTGGAATACTCATGATGATGAGATAGCATACAAATGACATCAGTGTAATTAACTGTTTACTTGATACCAAAACTTCTTTCTCCATATTAAGATAAACTATCTTGTGCACTTGATCCTCTAGTGCACGCCCTTGATATGAAGCTGCAACCCCATCTCACATGGTTTGGATCTAAATTGAAAACTGCCTTCTTTCTTCGTAATAGTTATCATCAATCTGGCTGTTAGAGGATGGAAGAATATTTACTCATTTACCCTGCGGTACTTCTTTTTGGCGAATAAGGGTAGATTACATCATCATTGTCATCATCATCATCTGAGTCTTATCCCAACTATTTGGGGTCAGCCACACAAATCTTATTCCACGATTTCACTCTGTCGAGGGTGCACTCAGTTAGACCGTAAGTTATCGTATTATTTCTTACTACTTCCATCCATGTCCTTTTGGGCCTTCCCCGTGAGCTTTTAGAGCCTTCTACTTGAACTAAATCGCCCCTCCTACTGTACATGTATTGTCCACATATGTCAAGACCACCTAAGTCTACTTTTCCTCGCCTCATCACCTTTGGAGCTACCCCTAAGTTCCATCGGATATATCATTTCAAAATTCTACCCTTTCTTGTCTTGCCACTCATCCATGTCAACATCCTCAACTCAGCTATGCTCATTCTAGGGTATGTTATTTCTTGACCGCTCTACATTCCATCTCATAATGCATGACTAGTTTTACAGCCATCCTATATAAGGTCCCCTTCAATGTCATTGGTATGCGATGATCACATAAAACGCCGCAAGCACTTCTCTACTTCATCCACCCAGCTCTAATTTTATACGCCACATCTTCCTCAATATCTCATTCTCATGGATTATCAATCTAAGATAACAGTAAATTAACTCATTCTTTAGATTAAGATTTATGACAATTAGAGATTAAGACACTTTATAAAATTAAAACATTTTCCACTGTAGAAAAGTGGCAGTTCAAACAAACCTATGGAAGAGCCACATATCTATAACTTTGGACAAATTTTTATTGTTTCTCTAGAATCTTTCATGGAGTAGCTGGTATATTTGAACCCATTCTTTGTAGTTGTACATAGAATTCCATACGACTAAACAATTAAATTGCTGTCATTGATCACCATTCTTTATCAGAATTGTACAGTTTATCCGTTTATTTCAGGGTTCGTCTTCTATATTCTATTCAAACATGGGTATTTTTATCTAGTTTACTAAATATTTCAATTATGGATGCTTAAGTTGGGCTCATATAATGCGAAAACCTTATGTATGATTTACCTACCAAAGCCTTGGCTACTACCACCAGTCGATTCAGTTTTGGGGTTCCACAGTTAAACACCACATTCTTTATTAAAATATTTTGCAACATACTTAATAGCACATTCTGTTTATTCTTTTCTTTTTTTTGGTGTATTGTCATTATTCTGCATTTGGTTGACATAAAGTGGTTTACTTCTGTATCGTATCTAATGAGGTTTATTTCTGTAATCTTTTTTTGACATATTGCTGTATTGGGCAGCCTTTCTTTTCTGTTTTATCCCCTTTTTATAATATATCAACCCATCCTGTTCATTTTTTATCTTGGAATATGTGGATCAATACTTAAAAGGTCTAAAAATCCAATTGACCAAAGAAATTAAAAGAAGAAAACTGACCTAATCCTGCTTTCTGTTCACTTGACTCCAATTTGTTTGTCTCTTGTAAATTGTGGTTAACGCTATAATGGCGGTTCTTAAGATCTTGGTTTGCGACAGCGACAGCCGACAGTTCCTTAACTTTGTGTTGTAATTCTATGCTTTCTCGCTGTATGTTCTTACTATACTTCAGGTGAATGGTCTGCTATCAATCTTTGGACTTGTGCCAATATTGGACAACTCCATTTTTTTTTCATACCTCATTTTGGTGGATTATCAACTTTAATCCAAGGTCTAAAATACTATATATAAGAACAAAACAGAAAATAAAAAATTTCAAACCTTTCTCTTCTTTGTAGTTGGAAATAGCCTGCTGTTTAGTCTCTGGTCCTATAACACAATTTCCTCCTTTTTCAGGACAACTTAGTAAAAATCCAGAAGGTTTACGATACCTTTTTGGCGGAATTTCCTCTGTGCTATGGTTACTGGAAGAAATATGCGGACCACGAACTACGTCTGGGCACTGTTGATAAAGTTGTAGAAGTGTATGAACGTGCAGTTCAAGCTGTGACATATTCTGTGGATATATGGTTGCATTATTGTGTCTTCGCAATATCAACATATGAGGATCCGGATACCATTAGAAGGTAAATGCATGATTTTGGGTATTATTTAATTTTATATATCTCTCTGGTATTCATTCTTAGACTTGCAGGTTGGGTCTCGCTCGGTGGTCGACTTCCTTGTGGTGATGTCTATGAGGTTGTCTTTTTATTTTCTAACCTTTTCTTGGTCTCCCTGCAGTATTGGTATCTCACATATAAGGCGAGAGGGTTTAATAGCCTTTTATTTTTCTTCATGGGTTTAATTTGTTTTTATGTATATATTTTCATTTCTTTCCTATTTTCTCAAAAGGTATATGTAGTAGTCATGTAGTTTTCCATGTATTATTGCTGCCTTTGACTTTGACACACTTGAGGATATGGGTGCAATACAAAATGCTGGTGGGAAGATCTCGTTCAGTTAAGGGCTAAGATGGCCTCTCTTCTATATGCCCTGCTCCATTTCAAGGACATAGTATGGTTTTGTCGGGAAGGTAAATGCAGCATATTTGTGTGTCTAATGTTGATACAGTGAAAATTTTCCTTCTCGATCTTCAGGGGGGGCCTCATTATGCATAGATTCAATCCACAATGGTAAATTCTTGATATTCTTAAGCATTTTTCGTTGACTGGGAATTGTCCCTGTTCATGGTGTTTCAGACTTTTTGAACGAGGATTGGCATATGTTGGAACAGACTATCAATCCTACCCTTTCTGGGACAAGTACATAGAGTATGAGTTCTCCCAACAGGAGTGGAGCCGTCTTGCTATGATCTACACAAGGATATTGGAGAACCCCATCAACCAACTAGATCGCTATTTTAACAGGCAATTACTCCTATCTTCAAGCAATGGTATAATATATTTTAGCAGGAATTGATACCTGTTATTTAGAAGGGAACGCATACTACGTATCCAGTGGGTTGTACTTATTCCCAGTCCTTTGTGTACCCTGAAATGATGGGTGGTGATGGATACATGGCCTAATTTTGGGTTTCATGCTCTCTTTGCTGTGCTATGTTTTACCATTGTCCAATGTGTTATATGTACTTTCACTTCCATCTCACCCCAGTAATTGAAAAAAACATGTGTTCCATTGCAGCTTCAAGGAGCTGGCTGGAAGTCGGCCCCTATCTGAGTTACAAACAGCTGAGGAAGCTGCCATAACAGCTGCAAGTGCTGAGCCTGGTGTTCAAGGAGGGGAAGAAGGCGAGGGTCCTCGTGATGGGGTGGAGCAAGAGTTCCCTAAATCTACACTCAGTGAATCTGAAGAATTGGAGAAATATATTACCATAAGGGAAGATATGTACAAGAAAGCTAAAGAGTTGGATTTACAAATTCGCGACTTTGAGGCAGCCATTAAGAGACCATACTTCCATGTGAAGCCTCTTGATGATATACAACTGGCCAATTGGCATAACTACCTTGATTTTATTGAAAGAGGGGATGATTTTAACAAGGTAACGGACGATGATTTCTGTTATGACCCTCCATGTGCAAGAGGGGTGTTTCTTTGGCTTAGTTAAAGGTGTAACTAGCATTAACCTCCATCCTCTGTTGTCGAGAAATGGTGGTGGATGCCATATCATACACTGCCTGGCTAGGCATAGTTTACTCATGTGGGCCAACGGTAACTGCTCGCGCAGCTCTAACTGCAGCCCCCTAAGCCGTGGCTTGACTGCAAGCTACAGGCTGCCTTTCTGTTGATTATAAACTAATGTGATTTTTTCTTGCCTTTCCAGGTTGTCAAGTTATATGAGAGATGCCTCATTGCTTGTGCTAACTATTCTGAGTATTGGATACGCTATGTTCTATGCATGGAAGCCAGTGGAAGTATGGAGCTTGCAAGCAATGCACTTGCTCGGGCCACCCAAGTCTTTGTCAAAGTAAGCATACCTCCTCTCATTTACCTCTTTTTCCTGCTTTCTCCATCCATGAATCATGAATCATTTTTTAGCGCAATTTACTTTTAAGGTGTTACTGCATGCAATGGTTTATTTGTGTTGGAAATGCTTACCTTTTCATATTCTTCATGTATTAATTATATTTTACTTACATATTAGCTTCTCATTTTCTTTTTCATTTTAATTTTTAGTAAATATCACTCGATGTTTTAGCTTAGTTTAAAATTAAATATCACCAGGTCAAGCTGTTAACTGGCATGCAAGTTTAAAATGGTTAGACAAGTGCCTCTATGCGTATCCAGAGCACATGTTTAATAAATGTAAATATGCATTTATGAATTTTCTTTATTATTTGCAAGATGCAATCTAACGATAAAATTGGGTAATACAGCCTGCTTATGCTTCTTTAAGTTGTACGACAAAAATCAAACCCAAGTTGCTCATCTTTTATATTATACTATAAGGTACTACTGCATTTCGTTGGGTATGGATTTGTTTATTAAAGGTCTGTTTCTGAAGTTTAGGTTTGCCTTGGAATCCTATTCTTGCATTTGACCAGTTTATTGTACAATAGTCATGTTACTCTTCTTTATACATGATATAACTTATGGTTGGTGAAATTCTGGTCAACAGAGACAACCTGAGATTCACGTCTTTGCTGCTAGATTTAAAGAACAAAGTGGGGATATTTCGGGGGCACGTGCAGAGTACCAACTCTTACATTCGGATGTGGCACCTGGTCTAATTGAAGCTTTAGTAAAGCATGCAAACATGGAGCATCGATTGGTATATAGCATGTTATGTCTTCCGTAATTTCTTTTCCTTTGTTATTACTTTGGATTCTTTAATATTATCTCTTCTCTTTGCCTCCTTTTTTTAAATTCATAAACCTCTCTCTTGGTTGGCTTGGCAGGGTCAAGTAGAAACTGCCCTTATCATCTTCACGGATGCCATAACTTCTGAGCAAGCAAAAGATCAGTCCCAAATTCTACCTTTCCTTTATGTTCAGTATGCACGGTTTCTTTACTTGGTAGGTTGGGTCTTTGGGTCTTTCTGTGCCTATGTGATTTGGAATTGTTTTCTAGACCTAGAGTCTTAAACTGAAATGATAATAAGAAGGAAAAGCAAGGACACCGATCATTAAAAAGAAAGAAAAAGAAGTTTGTGAGACCCTTTTTTTTTTTGGCTTCAACTACTACCAACCATTGTCTCATTTCACTATTTTATGTAAATTCTTTTGAAAGATGTGGTTGCTTTTTTTCTTTGCTTGTTCTCTACATTACTAGCTATGTGGCGGTCCCCCTATGTAGGAATCATCTCTATTATCCGATACGTTGGAGATTGTAGCCTTATGGTTAATGCATATTGGGCTTTTGTAGGTTGTTGGCAATGCAGAGAAGGCTAGGGAGGTTTTAACTGGAGCCCTTGAACACATGCCATTGTCCAGGCCCCTTGTTGAGGTTAGTTCCTTTCATTTGCTTTGGTGCTTTTGTAATTAAAAAATGAGTAGAGTGTTTCAAGGTCCACTTCTAATGGAATATAATGCCTGCTTTTCGTGATATGTAATGACATGGTATTTGTTGAAGAAAGAGAAAAAAAAAATCATTAAGGAGCTAACTCATGGGAATTTGTTTGCTGTGGATTCCAGGCAGTTATCCATTTAGAAACGGTTCAGCCTTTTCCAAAGAGAATTGATTACTTGGATTCGCTTGTTGAAAAAGTGATAACACCCAATGCTGAGGATTCTAATGTGCTGAGTTCTGTGGATAGAGAAGAATTATCTAGCATATTCTTGGAGGTAGGTGAATGAGGTTATTGTCTTTACTGTTTCTCTTTCTTGATGCTCAGTTTTATTCTAAGGGGACAGTATAATATAGTCCAGTGGATGACATTATACTTCCTAAACAAAAGTTCCATGAATTGTGGTATCTTCATAATCCATTAATGGGCTGTGTCCTTTCTGGTAAGTGCCACTCTCTCTCATCATCCACTTATTAACCCCGTCGGCTATCAGCACACTCCAGTAACTTTGGATTCTTCTATACCCTGTAGTGCGTTCGTGGTCTGACTTTGTGAAGAGCTCTATAATTCCCTGATTTGGGTTTAAGACAATGTTAATTGGGCAACTAACGTTGCAAGAATGGCTTAAACTTGCCATCACTCCGTAAGAGATGATGCTGACTACAAATGTTTGTTCTTAATGTTAAATATAAGTGATATTACTGAATTCCCTTTGGTTTCCTTATTTTTAAGTTCTCTGTTTTGCTTATGGTGTCATTGAACTTTGGCATACCTGTACTTGCAGTTTGTTGATCTCTTTGGAGATGCAACTGTGATAAAGAAGGCGGAAAACAGGCACGCTAAGCTATTTTTACATCAAAAGACTATGTCAGAATCAAGAAAAAGGCAAGCCCAAGATGGTCTTTCATCTGATAAAGTAAAGTCACTCAAAAGTGTTTCCTCTGCTGCTTCTCCACTTCTGTCTGCCTATCCCAATGGCCAGCAGCAATGGGCAGCTGGTTATGGGCCGCAGCCTCAAGCTTGGGCACAGGCTCCTCAGCCCCCAGTGCAACAATGGAATCCAGCCTATTCGCAGCAGGTATTTGTATATATGTGTGTATGAGAGAGAGAGAGAGAGAGAGAGAGAGAGAGAGAGTCTTTTATCGCTCCTTAGATATTTGAACACTTGATGCGTTTGCCTCTTTGTGTGTGTGTGTGTGAGAGAGAGAGATAGAGAGAGGGAGGGAACTTTTATTGCTCGTTAGATATTCAAACACTTGAGCTCTTGCTCAAAGAGAGAGAGAGAGGGAGAGAGAGAGAGAGAGAGGAGGG